TAGACTGGAAGTTAGTTTAAACAATAAAATTAAAAAATCTATTGTGCTGCTAGTTGTTCTTTTATTTGTTTGTGAAAATTATATTTGAAATAAACTCAGGACTTCTTCAGGGTCCAGACAAGTTTGCTGGACAAAACGCTGGAATTATTTAAATTTCAATCGTTGAGTTTATTTCAAATATAATTTTCACAAACACCGTCTTCTCGATTATTTTTTGAGGTCTAGACTATTTTTACTGAAATCTTAAAATTATTATCAGTCAGGGGCTTATACTGACTGATCATCTCATAATACCATATGTCTTATTGTGTGATTCTTAGTAGTAATTGAAGTATATCGAACAAATTGTGGTGTATCCATTAATATTATTTGTATCCAGCATTTTGCATAGACAACTGTTTATAAATATCTGTACTTTTTTCATGATCGTTGTGGTAGTTTTCCAAGTCTCAACTCCGTAGAGTAGAATTTTCTTGACGTTCGTATTGAAGATTCTGACATCGATATTGGTCGAAAGTTGTTTTGAGTTCCATATGTTCTTGTAGAAATGCTGTCGTTGCTTTGTCGATCCTCGCCTTTACATCTACGTCAGATGCTACTTGTTTATCGATGACGCCGTGCAGATATGTGGATGTTTCAAACTATTCCAGAGTTTATTCATCAAGTGTAATTAGGTGCGTGTTCTCCGTGTTGGACTTGAGAATGTTGTTTTTTCCCTTATGTATGTTGAGGCCCATTGATGCAGAGGCTGCTGTTACACCAGTTGTATTCATTTGCATTTATTGGTCTGTATGGGATAGAAGAGCTAGGTCATCTGTGAAATCTACATTATCTAGCCACATTCAATATATCTATTATATACCCTGCTTCCCGTCAGATATGGAGGTCTTCATAATCCAGTCAACCAGCAGAAGAAGTAGAAAGCGGGAAATTAAGCTATCTTGTCTGACTCCGTTCCTCACTTTGAATGCAACTGTCAGCTGTCTTCCATGCACAGCTTTGCAGCTTAGTCCGTTGTGTGAATTCCGGATGATTTTGACGATCTTCTCAGGTAAACCATAGTGTCGAATAGGTTTTCATAAAGTCCTCCTATCCACATTATCAACTGCTTTCTCATAGTCAAGGAAGTTGGTGTCTAGTGACGAATTCCGTCCAATTGATTGTTCAACAGTGATCTGTAGTGTCGTGATTTGATTTGTGCACGAACGACTTTCATCCGGTTCAGCAACGCTCTGTTGAAATCTTTTCTAGTACTGACAGTGGTGTGATGGCTCTGTAGTTCTCACACTTGTTCAGATCTCATTTCTTCGGTATCTTGATGAAGTACAAACATGTGTTAGTTGACAATACTAAGTCAATTGTGTTATATATATGAATCGATCTTTGTCTGGTATATTGACGAAATCCCTTAAATAAAAAGCCAACGTTAATTGCACAACCTAATGCATCATAATTGATAATTCATTGTCAAGCACCGAGGAATTGTTTGCAAGAAGAAACAACCAATAATCATGTAAAACAACAACACTGAATGGAACGAACAGTTTCAAACACAAATAGAACGTCTGATGTTACTGCCTACTATTAAAACTACTCAATCATTACCACTATACTCATACACAACCAAAACACTTTACAGTTAAAGTATTATCATGCACGTATTTCCTGAGGAAAATATTTCTATTGATTTATCAATATTTACTATAAACACAAATAAACTGGAACTAGTATCATCGATAAATTTTTTTGATTGAAACGACAACTATTACATTTCTATTCAGCTTCATTGATTCGTTTAACAAAATTAGTAAAATGACTGATAAAAAATTGATTAACAGTTGTTGGTTGGGACATAATTCTCATACTTGTTTGATAAACAGTTCAACGTAACAATGTTTTAAAATTATTTTCACTAAGGTAATAATTTTGTTTGGATCTGTAATCAACCTTAGACTTCATAGATTCATAATTTATGGGCGCTCAGTACATAACTAACATTAAATACTGATAACACTGGTACTATTCTCACTAGATGAAATTAGATTGTTTGAGTTATACCTTCAAAAAGATTGGATAAGATATATTAGTTGAAAAAGTCATTATTAAAGCTGAAGTTCATGTATCTCTGCAATTAATGTGTTGAACCACTGCAATTTCCACGACGCGAACTAAGAACACCAAGACTTGTACAATTGAAGATTTATTAACTCCAAAATATACTCATATATTGATTGCACACTCATTTCGATAAGTAATTAGAACAAAACCACATATATGAAAAATACTCAAAGTTGTTACAAGTCACATGCTGCAAATCATACTGAGCATAGTTCATGTTAATTTTATACAAGGAATATTGTATCTTGAACAAACACATCACACTCAAATAAATTAATGTTTTAGTGAATAAAAGATCACACTGGTAAACAAAACAAATACTACACTGAATAGTCACCATATTCAACTTTGCAAAAAGCGGAAGTAATATTAAACGGAAATCATAATGACTCCAAACTTTATTTGAACTTTTTATCTCGTCTTATCAACTAGGAATTATTTTCTTTCTTATTTTGATAACCTAATCTGATATATTTTGTTATGGCAGTGAGAAGAATTATTTTCGTCTTTAGATTAAAACTTGTAATCAGTTCTAGTGTTGTTTTAAAATTCATAAAGACTTTGACATAGTATGTTCATAATCACCTACAGATTTGATAGTCTCTATAATACAGAAATTCTCAAAAGAACAACTGTTTCTTTCGTCGTCTTCACTTCTGCCGTTATTTCATACTAATTTCTTTTATATACTGGTACCATTCATGTCTTTGTCTAATCACTTCATTCTTCTTTTATTTTATTTCCATAATAATAAGCATTTTCTGTTAGAATAAGAAATAGGTAAGCATGTATATTATATATTCCGATTAGTTAGGCCGATTAAGTTTGACTGGAATTATGTCAGATAATTTAAAAAGTATTGCTATTCATATATTTTATGAATTGATAAAACTACATTTTTGATCTAAAAGCCAGACCATTATCCTTTAAAATAACATGTTTAAATATATAAACCAAGATTTTTATAATTGTGGTCAGATGTCATTGGTAGTAATAGTATGTAGAAATATCTATTTATGAGTACCCCCAAAAAAGGTTGTATTCTCTTCTGTCGGATTCTCAACTTTCAATTTGTATAAAAATCAATAAATTTTCTAGTGTTACTTATTTATTCCATTTATTTAGCAATATATTTTGTCAATCATATAATTTTATGAATTTCTTTAATTGATTTCATTGAAACCCACTGATTAGTAAATTTATTATTACCTGTGTTCTTATTATTATTATTAGTATTATTATTAGTCATTTACGTTGATTGTCATCGAAAAATTTAATGATAAACTGTTGTTGAAACTCCACTTTATGGAGTTTCTTTTCGTCATCATTATAACTCTTTACACAGGTAATCAGCACTAGTAGACCTGTATATTTATTCGTTTATATATATATGATATATTATTAAACCTTAAAAGTTTTATTACCCTAGAGAAATATTATGTAAAAAACTTTGTACTAGAAATAGACTTTTTTTGAATTAATTATATTTTTCTCAGCAAACAAGCACAGACATCTTAAGTGTCCTGGAAATTTTTATATGGACTCTGGACTAATAATACTACTTAAAACTTTCAGAGTTATTCCTGTATTAAGAATCCAAATTGTTTATTAATTAATATAGTTCGTATGAAAATATTCTATTAGATATGTGTGTTGGATTTATGATGTTAGTTCACAAAGGGCTTTGGATATAAACATTATTTTTTAATTATTTGTATATTGAAACTAACAATATGAGTCACGTATAGACTGAACATTAATGCGATTTTTTGTTATATCTAATGTTTTTACAAATTAGAAATTAGTAACTGTTAGTCTTCGGCACGTCAACAGTCAACACTTTTGAATGTAGACTCTACTGAAGTACTGTAAAAAATGCCAACAAAACTGTGATTTCTCTTCAAATTATAATTTTTCCATTGTTAACAAGACTGTAACTGAGGCACTTGGATATAAGTTGTCTGGTTAGAAATTATGGAGGATTCATATGAATTGAATAAATAGAGGTGCACCTGTCAAGGCTGTCCGTTTAATACAACCTCACTATAGATATGATCCTAGAAATAAAACTGACAAGAATAAGGGCCCTACAGATTCCGTGAATAACAAATTAAGAATGTTCGGGGACGCGGTCCTCTTCCTTTAAATCCTAATCTTTGCTTCAATATTGCTGTTCATCAATGCACAGGTTAATCATAGGAAGCAAAGTTGTTGAACACATGGACAATCAAAATATTTCTTATGTCTCATCCACTCTTAAGCTTTGGTGTATAGAACACAGTCGTAAACATAAAACTCTCGTTTGTGTACAGCTTATATTCATTTTTGCTATTCTTGACATTACTATGTTCGCTAAATCCTGTTGCTTCGAACATTATTAATTTCATCTAACTATGAGGATATGATTCGGCAATTTTATCAGATGTTTATTTGTGCCAAGTACTACGTGATTTATGAATGACTGTGACTACTTCGTTTCACGGTATCACCAAACAGTGTATAAGTTAGTATTTTCACTTCAATATAATACTTACAAAGTTATATTTTGTTAGTCAACTTAAATGTATTAATCTAAGATAATGAAGTAACGTTTGTGCTATTATTATTTAGAGTGCATACAAATAGACCTATTATTTATTCCGATATAATAATCCATGACGTATCAAACACTGCTCAGAATTCGAAGTGAACCGTATTCTATCTGATGATATACGTGAATAGACTGACTAACTACCATAAATCACTTAAGCTTTATTCTAGTGAATTTCGTTTAAATTTAGGCATCAATATTACGGTTACTGTTTTGTTTCTGTATTCTAACCAGTACAACTTAATTTATAATAAGATTTTATTCTATTTTTGTTCATACTATTTCCTGCTAGAAAGTACATCTAGTCTTAACAATCCAAGTAAAATTAGCTCACGAATACTTGAAGATGCTGCATTAAAATTATGGTCAAATTTAAATTTGGATAGAATAAATTTCAATAACGAATTGATAAAATTAACTGCAAAGTTACAAGAAAATATTGCTATTAATTTAAATCATCAACATCAAAATCATCATCATTGTAACGATGACAGTGATAATGATAATAACAGTAATAAGTTAGCACAGATTTTATCTCTGTCTAACTTCAAAATAAATCCATCATTGTCATTATCATGTTCCCAGTCAACATCGTCATCTATATTACATGATAATACGAACAATAATACCGATACTATTGCCACTACTATAAGTACCAATAATGACATTCCATTATCACTAACCAATTATTCAACTGTATCACAAATTGCTCGATTTGCATCGGCTGCTAACCTTTTCAATTCTTCTGGAGTTGATCTACATTGTCCCACTAATTTTTATACAATTCAAAATGATAAATTGATCACTTCTAGTTATAATATTGATGCTCATACAAATATTGCTGAAAACTTAATTTCTAACAATATACCCACAACTATTACTTCCAATACAAACACTTTAGTACCTGTGAGCAGTACTACGTCTTTTACAAATTACACAACTGCTCACTTCATTGATAATTCTTTTCGAAACCAAGAAGAAAATTTCAATTTAAAGAGTGAAAATGAAATTTCATTTCATGTACCACAACAACAACTGAATCTGCCTGATTATTATCATCATCACCAAGAACAACAACAAACCACGAAACCAAACTTTTGTGCAGCACAAGATGAGGGAATAAACAGCTCAGTTGAATTGAAACAGACAAAACCTTCAACAGAATTAATCAAAACTAAACAGACATTATATTGTTGTTCTATATGCCGACAAAGATTTCATTCAAACACTGGACTAAGACGCCATAATTTAGCTTTACATGCAACCAAAGCTATGAAATGTGACCAATGTGTGAAAGTTTTCAGGTAAATTTATTTACCTATACACATTTGTATTGTTGTAAAGTTTATTTGTTGATTTGAAAGGTTTGTAATGAAAATAAAATATTATTTTTTTTATTTGTGTGAAGTTAACTATGATGAAATAAATATTATATATATACATATATGCGGCATTGGAAATAACATTCTCATCAACTGGATTTTCAAGAACTGATCTCTTTCCAGGAGGTTTACTTATTGACGTAGAATACGCAGATGATATAGTCCTGTTTGGTGACCCGACCGTTGTTGCTACCTTGACGTGGTGGTCGGGCTTGCCTATCGTGATGACCCAACCGAGCTATACTGGCTGGAACAACCGTTCCTCAAGGTCCTACCATGTCAGACAGGTCGGTTGAAAAGCGGTAAGACTAAAAGCAACAAACCCAAGGTTCGAAGGCGAAGTCGTACTGCTGACTGTACAGAGGTGTGACAGCAGTAAGGTGTTTCCTTCAGACAACCAGCATGACAGCGATGCTGCCTTCCCACAAGGAGGGGTGGGGTTAGGAAAGGTCGACCCTAAAAATGCACACTTCACCTTACCTCACGGATTTCCGTCTCCGGCGGTAAGGCCCTTTGGAGAACGGAGCTAACACGTCAAAAACCTCCCACGAAAAGGCCGTGCGCGACCGGCCTCAAGCAGTTGTCCCTTGGGCACTGCGGTCACGCTCTCAGGTCACTGAGACCGCCTCTAATCTAATTTCCTTTTCAGGTACCTCCAGAAGAACCCTTCCTCGGTGTGGGCAACCGGGAAGTGATAACCGCCCTCATACCTCTAACAGCACCCAAGACCACTGTATTCATAATCAACCTTCCTCTTCAATTCCTATTATTCCTCCTACATCGACTTTCAACTCTAAACTTCCTCTTTCGGCTTCCTCCTCAAGTGTCACCATAGCCAACGATTCTAGTGCTCAAAACATTGCCCCAGGTCTACTGAAACCTCGCTCCAAACTACACATTGGAGCCTTCAACGTACGCACCCTATGTCAAATCGGTCAGCAGGCTTCCTTGTCTAAAACCCTAGAGTCTCTTTCCATTGATGTATGCTGTGTCTCCGAAACACGCATACAGGATTCCAGTGTGGTCATTCACTTGACCTCACCTCGGCAAAACGGAGAGCCAACGAGATACACCCTCCGTGTATCTGGTGACCCGATGGCCAGCTCTCGTGGACTGGCAGGTGTAGTCATAGCACTAAGCATGGGGGCGGAACAAGCACTGCTAGAGTGGATCCCCGTCAACAGTCGTCTATGTGCTGTTCGGCTAAACGGCTCCGTAAGAACTCGGAAGGATAGGGACACACGTCGTTGCCTTTTCGTCGTTTCTGCCTACGCTCCCACTGACTGCAGCTCAGATGATGTGAAAGATGAATTTTACAGAAAGCTGTCCAAACTTCTTCAGAAAGCTAAACGCCCAGACATAGTACTCATAGGGGGTGACTTTAATGCTCAGATAGGTAGCTTAAACCAAACAGAAAGGCATTTAGGTGGATATTTTAGCATTCCGGCACAGCGAACAGATAATGGTGATCGTCTGCTGCAACTGTGCTCAGACAATCGCTTATTTTTAGTAAACACAAATTTTAAGCATAAGAAGAAACATCGTCTAACATGGAAACCCCCTACACCAAACCAACGATGGACTCAAATAGACCATATTGCCATCAGTCATCGTTGGAGAGGGTCGGTAGAAGATTGTCGCTCATTCTGGAGTATCTGCTTGAACTCCGACCACGCCCTAATACGGGCACGCATCTGCTTGCGCCTCACTGGACGCAAAAAAGCCACATTAAAAAGACCCATTAGAACTGATTTGAGTAACGAGAAAACCAAAAGTAGGTTCCAGGAATAACTGAGGTCACACTTAGGTAGTTCTGAAAACGAGACTGACCCAGATGTTGCTTGGAAAGCTATGCAAACAGCTGTGGAAACAACTGACATTTATCAGTGATTTAAACCACAGGGTTACAAAGAACCAATGGATTTCCTCTAGGTCTATTGCACTGATGGATCCTCGTAAACTCATCCCATCAGGCTCTGAACACGATGAAGAGCGACAACAAGTTAGATCTAGGTTAAGAAAAAGTCTAAGAAACGACCGTGAGCAGTGGCGGGCAACGAAAGCAAAAGAGATGGAAAAGGCGGCGACTATAGGGAACACAAGATAGCTTTACAGACTAATAAAAGAAACTGGGATTAATAAGTCAAGTGTAAGTGAGATTATATCGGAAAAAGACGATACTCTCATCTGCTCCCAGTCCAGACGTTTAGAACGATGGGCAGAACATTACAGAGAACAGTTCAGCTGGCCTTCAGCTACTCTACAACTACCCTTCATTCCCAGACAGTGTGAATGGAACATTGAAGTAGGTCCCCCAACTCTAGCAGAAGTTCAAAAGACTATAGCTAATCTGAAACGAGGAAGGGCAGCTGGTCCAGATGGACTGGCTCCAGAGGTCTTTAAGGATGGTGGTTCAATTTTAGCGATTAGGTTGACTAATATTTTAGCTAAAATCTGGGAGTTAGACGTTATCCCATCTAACTGGTCACAATCACTTATCGTCCCAATATATAAGAAAGGGTCAAAATCATCCTGTGACAACTAAAGAGGGATAAGTTTAACTAATATAATATCTAAAATACTAGCTTCGATAATTATCAGACGCCTAACTAAGACTCGAGAACTGCAAACACGAGAGACTCAAGCTGGCTTCAGACCTGTTCGTGGCTGCATCGACCACATATTCACCATTCGTCAGGTTCTAGAACACAGGCATACTTATCGGCGTCCGACAATTGTGGTCTTTCTTGACTCAAAAGCAGCATTTGACTCGGTCGACCGCGAGATTCTGTGGCAGTGTCTGTCATTGAAAGGCGTACCTCAGAAGTACATAAACCTTGTGAAGGCTCTTTACTCGAACACTACTAGTCGAGTCAGAGCTTATGGCGAACTGTCATCTACTTTTGCAACCTCAAGTGATGTCCGTCAAGGCTGTCCACTGTCCCCATTTTTGTTTAACTTCATCATAGATCTACTGATGGAAATAACTTTCTCGTCGACTGAGTTCTCGGGTATTGATCTCCATCCAGGAGGTTCACTTATCGACTTAGAATACGCGGATGACATAGTCCTGTTTGGTGAAGACGCTGACAAAATGCAGAGTCTTTTGGTAGCACTAAGCAACAATGCCAGAATGTTTGGAATGCGCTTCTCTCCCTCTAAATGCAAGTTGTTGCTTCAGGACTGGCTTGCATCAACACCTGAACTAAGGATAGGGAGTGAAGTAGTCAAACGCGTTGACAACTTCACTTATCTTGGAAGTCTGATCAGCTTAATGGGTTGGTGTCTGACGAAATCTCAGCACGGATTCAAAATGCCCGTTTGGCTGTTACCAACTTACGTAACCTGTGGAGAAGGCGAGATGTCCACTTATCAATTAAGGGACTAGTATGCTGTGCGGCATTTCGTTCTACCCTACTGTACGGCTGAGAAACTTGGCCATTAATGGTAAAGAATACTCGCAAGCTACCAGTTTTGATCACAGATGTCTTAGAAATACTGTTCGCATCTGCTGGAATCACCGGGTAAGTAATAGTGAGGTTAGATGCAGGGTATTAGGGAATAATAGTAAACCAGTTGACGAAGTTGTGAATCTTCATCGACTGAGACGGTTGGGTCACGTGTTACGTATGTTTGAACACCGTTTACCACGACGCACAATGCTGATTAGTGTTGGAGATGGCTGAAAGTTAGGGGCGGCCAAACCAAAACGTGGCATCAGTGCTTGAAGTCACTAACTTCTGGTCTTTGTCATGCTGGTAGATACAGACTACTTAATTGCGGTGCGTGCAACTATTATAAACAGTGATTAGAGACTCTACGTGACATGGCTCAGAATCGATTACAATGGCGTAGGAGTATATACCCTTTGTCTTCCCTTAAACCGTGAGATTAAAGTTACTTTATACCTTTCTACAAACTAATCCTTACTACCTGTACCATAAACTTATATGCAATCTTTGTTTACATATTGCTGCCATTGAATTAACTACCTCTATGAATTCTGTGTTCATCATTTTGTGTTAATGGGGTGTGGCAACGTGAACCGATGCATAAATGTACCTTGTCCTACATTGTAGCTGACTGACTGATATATATATATATATATATATATATATATATATATATATATATATATATATATATATATATATATATATATATATATATATTACTTACGCCTGTTACTCCTAATGGAGCATAGGCCGCCGACTAGCATTCTCCATCCCACTCTGACTTCAGGATTCCATGTGAGGGCTTGCCTTGTGATACAGTTTGGTGTTTTCGTCAATGTGTGTCCTATCCACTTCCAGCGCTTCTTCCTCCTCCGAGATCTGGTTTGTTCTTTCCCACAGTCGGTTGATGCTAATAGTGTCCGGCCAACGGATCCGAAGTATTTTGCGTAGACAACTGTTAATAAACACCTGTATCTTCTGGATGATGGTTTTCGTGGTTCTCCAGGTTTCCGCCCCATACAGTAGAACTGTCTTGACATTTGTATTGAAAACCCTGACCTTGGTGTTGGTTGATAGGTGCTTTGAGTTCCAGACGTTCTTCAGTTGTAGATATGCTGCTCTTACTTTGCCGATCCGCGCCTTCAAATCTGCATCAAACCCACCATGTTCATCAATGATGCTGCCCAGATATGAAAAGGTTTTTACATCTCCTATGTCCTCTCCGTCAATTGTGATTGGATTGGTGCATGCTGTGTTGTGTCGGAGAATCTTGCTTTTTTCTTTGTGTATGTTGAGACCTACTGCTGTTGAGACTGCTGCTACACTGGTCGTCTTCTCCTGCATTTGTTGTTGCACGTGTGATAGAAGAGTCAGATCATCTGCGAAGTCTAGATCATCCAACTGCATCTTAGATGTCCATTGTATCCCGCGCTTCCCTTCAGACGTTGACGTCTTCATGATCCAGTC